GGGATAAAAAAGTACCCCATGTGTACAATGAAATATACTGCTGGATCTTTAATGTGGTGGGCCTATTTTTCTGCGGGGGATCCTGGATATCTTGTTCAGATAGATGGCATAATGGATTCTATAAAATACCAATGGATAAAAAATTAAAAACTGACTGCCCATTCTAGAAATCTTAAAATGGGCCATGGTTGGGTTTTCCAACAGGACAATGATCCACAAACAAACATCAAAATCAAAACAAAAATAGGTCACTGAGCACAAAAGCAAGCTTCTGCCCTGGCCAACCCAGTTCCCTGAGCTGAACCCTATAGAAAATGAGTCTGGTGAACTGAAGAGGAGAAATCTGAAGGGTCTGGAGAGATTCTGTATGAAGGAATGGTCTCTGATCTCCTGTCAGATGTTCTCTAAACTCTTCAGGCATTAGAGGTGAAGACTCAGAGCTGTTCTCTTGGAAAAAGGAGGTTGCAAAACGTATTGGATTAAAGGGTATGATTAATTGTGACCAATGTGTATTAGAGAAAAACATTTATTTCATAATGAGATTTCTCTCCCATTTTAAATTCTTATTCTGCAATGAAAGGTTACATTTTAGTACATTTTTAAAGTAAAATATCTAAAGGATTGATGATACAGATTAATTTTCACAGCCTCCTTTGATCATATTTACCAAGGGTATGAATAATTTTGAGCACAACTGTATGTATCAGGGGTGTTTCCTCCGAGGAGGCAAGGGAGGCAGTGTTTCCTCAAAAAATTGGATGATAAAATAATCGATATTACAAAAATGAAACGACACAAATCAGGGCCAGACTGGGACACAATTTCAGGCCGGGAAATCTCATCCAGGCCACACAGAAAAAAAGGGCCAAAATTGTACCTTTTGGGGTACAACAGCTTGTCACTGGAAGCAGTACTCTTAAATTATAGAAATTATACTTTTATTTAGCAAGGTTTTAAATTGATCAAAAGTGATGATAAAGACATTTATAATGTTACAAAGACTTCTATTTCAGATAAATGCTGTTCTTCTGAACTTTCTATATTCATCAAAGAAACCTAAAAATAAACTACTCTGTTTTCAACATTTTAATAATAATAATAATAATAATAATAATAATAATACATGTTTTTGAGCAGCAAATCTGCATATTAGAATGATTTCTGTAGGATCATGTGACACTGAAGCAGAGATGTTAACAAGTCTATAACTTGGAGTCCGAGTCAAGTCTAAAGTCTTTGTCGCTGCAGTCTGAGTCAAGTCTCGAGTTTTCCTCTCTTTAGAAAACTGAGACTCGACTCAGACTCGTGACCAAAGACTCGAGAAAACTGTAATGTAGAAAGTGCTTATGGTTTAAGACAGTGATATTGAAAGTCCATATTTTGGTCTCATCTGTTTTTCTGCACATATTATGCTTTATTAGTAAGATGTGTGTACTGTCTCGGTGCATTAAGTGTGTTTTTTTATATGAGAGGAAAATGCTTAACGTGTAAATAAATGCGTTGCGTTCACATTTTGAGCTTATATGCATATCTGTACATAGTATATGCTTTACAATTTTGTCTTTATCACTGTCTTGGTACATTAAGCCACTTTAAGCATTTTAGAAAGTCGCTATTTAAAGTTCATATTTTGGGCTCATCTGTTTTTCTGCACATATTATGCTTTATTAGTAAGATGTGTGTACTGTCTCGGTGCATTAAGTGTGTTTTTTTATATGAGAGGAAAATGCTTAACGTGTAAATAAATGCGTTGCGTTCACATTTTGAGCTTATATGCATATCTGCACATAGTATATGCTTTACAATTTTGTCTTTATCACTGTCTTGGTACATTAAGCCACTTTAAGCATTTTAGAAAGTCGCCTATTCAAGTTCTGCTAATTCACAAGCCTAGTGAGAGTCATGCTCGCAAAGAAGGTAATGTTAACTGTTAAACCAACAAAATCAAAACTTCCAAAAACACACAGCAATGCAATTCTTTTATTGAGTGATAGTCAGTGGGTTTCAGTGTCATTAACAGATTTACTATTCGGCATCTTCTCCGTGGCCTCCTTCCGTTGGTGTTTTTACACATAGAAAAGGCGAAAAAAATGATTTATGTTCTGTGAGTCTTATTTATTGTTATCTGTCCAAAAAAAGTTGCACAAGCATTCAAAGTATAAGCTCCAGCGGGAAAAAAGATGTCTAAACTAAAGACAAAAAAGCGTGAAAGCAGATCGCGTTACAGACTGTGTGTTCCTCCCTGCCCACGCTACATCACGAGCGGGGATACACACAGTTTGTGCGTGGTCTGCTTGGGAGTGGAGCACGCGGTGTCGGCTCTCGAGAGGGCCGACTGTCCGCATTGTGAGCAGTTGCCACTGCGTTTGCTTCGCTCCCGGAAGGCTCTCTTTGAGGATGGAGCCTTCACCAGCGTTCCTCACAGTGCTGGCCCCGCTTCCGCCAAGGCGGAGCGGCAGCTGCACTCGTGGGGTTCGCAGCTGGATCTGCGTTTGTCTCCTGCTCGGATCGAGTCGATCCTCACTGCAGTCGTGGAAGAAATATATATTGTAATCTTTCTTACAAATGTAACCGGGGCAGGAATAGTCCAATATTTAATTCCCCTGGTGATTCCCCTTTAAGTTTTCGCTATGATGCAGTTATGCGTGCTGTCTCCTTTAAGAGTTTGAGCATGCGCACAAGAGAGAGAGTGTGCGTCAGAGGGGAACAGAGATAGCGCCGATAGAAGCAGCAGTTACAAGTGAGGAGAAAACAGTTATTAAAAATTGTTAAACGGATATAATCC